TTTTTGTAGAGATGAGGTCTTGCTATGCTGCTCAGGTTGGTCTTGAACTCCTGGGCTCAAGCAATTTTCCCTTCTCGACCTCCCAAAGTGCTGGGATTATAAGCATGAGTCACCACACCCACCCCAAAATAAGTATTTTTTATAAGTCATTATCTTTCAGAGAAATATACTGAAATATTTACAGACAATAAGATATCTGGGATTTGCTCCAAAGTAATAAGAGCTGTAAAAATGAATTTATACATTTTAATATGTGTTACATTTCAAAAAAGTATACTAGTATGCAGTGAGGGAGTGGACAGCTATGTGAACAGGGCAGGAGTGGCCATGGGCCGATAGTTGCTAGGGCTGCGTGATGGGTGGGTACATAGGGTTTATCACACCAGTCTGCATACCAAGCAAATGAACATAAAGAAAAAAATAGGCCCTAAGTATGTCTGGTTTGCAAATATACATAAGGTAGTCTAAAAGAGTTGCTACAGGAGTCATACAGCCAAACCAAGGAGGGGAGCCCTGAGTGGCAGGACTATATACTCATAAAACAAGGGCAAATCGCTTACTAGGGAGATGCCCACAGACTATGATCACAAATTCCCAGGAAAGGCATCCTGGCTTCTTTCACAAGCATCCATGAAATAGTCTCTTTGAGTGTCTCTCATATCTCATCACCAAATATTTGAGAGTTCTAATACACAAAATAATACAGAGCAAAGACAATTCCTTCCTCGGAGGGCTTGGCAATCAGGGAAGATAAAATAACAACAAAGGATATCCCAAAAAGATATTCTGGGGCCACCCAGAGTACCACTTAGCAAATATATTCTGAGTATTTTCTTTCTAAGGCTGAGAGTCCATCACAGACACCACCTGAAACACTTCCTATGTATATACATCTTTAAAGACCATTAAGAGAAGTTGTATCTGTTGAGTGCTAACTCTGTGCCAGATATTATTGTCTTACATATTTTATGTGAATTACTCTTGCATTTCCCAAAACAACCCTATAAGGTAGATACCACAATCATCCCATTTTACCGATGAGGAAACTGAGGCAGGGGAGGTGCAGTTACATGCCTAAGATCATATAGCTATAGCAACTAACTAGCAAAAGCAAGGGTGGCACTAAGTCCTCGAGAACCTATACTTTTTAACCCCTATGGGTAGCAGTGGTTCCAACTAGGAACAATTTTGGCCCCTGGGGAACATACAGAGACACAATTTTGACTGTAATGGCCTGGGGTGGGCAGGCGTGCTCCTGGCATCTAGTGGGATGCAGCTAAACTCAGCCAGGGATGCTGTTAAACTTCTTTCAATGCACAAGGCAGACCCTACAACAAAAAACTGCCAGCCTAAAATGTCAACAGTGCTGAGTTGAGAAAGGAAATATGTATCACTAAACAAGTAATAGTACATTTAATGAGGGTTACAAAAGAGGAAAGAACCAATTTCCTTAAAGAGTTGACCAATTCAAAATGTGACTTTTTTTTTCTTCACATACTTTATAGATGATGAAGACATGTTCACTTTGAGTCTGGCTCTAATAGGGCCAGATGTTTTGTGTATTATCTTTTTTGAGACTGTAGTCCAATGTTAGGGGTTTAGTTTCTAATTGTGAAATGGATAAGGCCGGGTTGAGATGAAATCAGTGACCTCAGATCTGTTGGGACCATGCTTCAATATTACAATGAGAGGAAATAAGGGGAAAACCAAGCTCAGGTGCCATCATTTTTACAAAGGGTCCCTTCCCCTAGATGCTAATTATTCAATTTACTTTCATCAGAGCTTTCCTATTAGTCCTAGCTCTAGCTCTGCAATTCTTGTGCTCCCTGGCATCCCTCTGATGCCAGTCTTGATGCCTCCTAGTGCATCTCTCCTGGGATCTGAGCCAGAAAAACCTGAAATTGTGTGTGGGCTCTGCAACTCACTATACCTCAGTATCTTTAGCTGTTAAGAAAAAATAATAACAACAGAGGAGGATGTAATGTCCCTTAAAGAGCTTTGTAACGGTTAAATGAAATACACTTTACCCCTTGCACGCATTCAGTTATTGTCACTCCAAAGTCTGAACACACAGGCTCCTTTTAGAATTTATTAAGATTCTGACACAGACTGACAGAGTTCAGCCTAAATACGAATACCTGTCTGTTCCTCACCCTAATCCTCTTCCCTAATAAAGACAAGCTTATATAATGCCTATACCTCTATGAGAAGCAAAAAAGGACAGTGAACAATGGCCAAGGACAATACTGGCTTTGTATTCTTTGTCCCTATCCTTAAAAGAGAAGTCACTTATGGTCAAGGGGCAAATAACTCTGCTTTGCCTTTTTGATTGCAATTTTAAGTGCAAATAGATACCCTATGTAAGCATTCAATACAGGTTCTAAAAAGACGCCCCCACTAACAGACATGGTTCTACCTTCTTTACATTAGCTTCCACAAATGCCAGCAATACAATTTTCAGTTTGATTATTGCTACCTTTCCCCATAATAGAAGGTGGTAAATAAAGCATAGGATTTGGACTTAGTTGGGCCCAGGTTTTTTTCTGGCTTTAGCACTTATCAACTTAGTTATCTTTAGAGTAAGTAACTTAACTTTTGAGACTTAGTCTCAGTTTCTTCACTGGCAAAATGAAAATAAGTCTTATTTTTTTTAATAGTTTGATCTACTATCTAACTTTGAGGTTGTTGTTTAAAAAAGAAAATGGAGATATTTAAATAAAGAACCTGACCAAATACCTGGCACATAATAGGCACTCAATAAACAGTTGCAAATATTACATGCTCTAGCCATAAATACAAAGTTAAGAATCTTAGTAAAATTTCTGCAGCCAGGCACACTGGCTAGTGTCTGTAATCCTAGCACTTTGGGAGGCTGAGGCAAGAGGACTGCTTGAGTCCAGGAGTTCAAAACCAGCCTGGGCAACTTGGCGAGACCTCATCTCTACCAAAAATAAAAAAATTGACCAGGTATGATGGCCTGGTACTACCAGCTACCCAGGAGGCTGAAGTGGAAGGATCGCCGAAGTTCAGAAGTCGAAGCTGTAGTGTACCACTGTACTCCAGCCTGGGCGACAGAGTAAAATTCCGACTCAAAAGAAAGAAAAAGAAAGACTTATGCAGACAGGGTACATTTGTGAGATGAAAGTGAGCTGTATGAGTCTCTACGAAGTTTCTCAATCCTCTACAAGTAGTGAGATGCTCTGGAATCCAGAACCCTTCTGCAGTTTCCCAGGTTCGCCCACAAGCAGAGCTAGCTCCCACCAGTGCTGCCATGGCCCTGCGATGACCTGGCTTGAACATGTGCTCTTGTCTTTGTCTTTCTACCTGTCTCCTCTTTGAGGCTATGAGCTCTCTGGGGACAGAGATGTAGCTTATTTTTTATACTAAGCTTTAAAATAAATGTTTGTTAAGTGAATACCCCCACCCCAAAAGTCACAGACTTTTTTTTGGAGTTGGAGTCTCACTCTATCACCTAGACTGGAGTGCAGTGGCTCGCTCCCGGCCACTGCAGCCACGACCTGCTAGGCTCCAGCGATCTTTCCACCTCAGCCTTCCAAGTAGCTGGAACTACAGGTGCGTGCTACCATGTCTGGTTAATTTTTGATTTATTGTAGAGACGAGGTCTTGCCATGTGGGTCTCAAACCCGCAGGTTCAGGCAATCCACTCGCCTCAGCCTCCCAAAGTGTTGGGATTACAGGTTGAGTCACTGAGCCCGGCCAAGTCACAGACTTTAAAATTGGTAAGCAGAGTCAATTCCTTTAAGAAAGGATCTAACTTTCCCTTTAACCAAGTCAATTGCACAAGACCCAACTGTGTTGACAGCACTGATGCAAATACTAAATCAAGTGAGAATTAATAGTCACACCCTGCCATGACTTATTTATTTATTTATTTATTTATTTTATTTATTTATTTTTGAGTTGGAGTCTCACTGTCACCCAGACTGGAGTGCAGTGGCCGTTCCCGGCCACCGCAGCCTCGACCTGCTGGGCTCCAGCAATCCTTCCACCTCAGCCCTCCGAGTTGCTGGAACTACAGGCCCGCGCTACCACGCCCAGCTAATTTTTTTGATTTATTGTAGAGATGAGGTCTCGCTGCCCAGGTGGGTCTCGAACCCACGGGCTCAGGCAATCCACTCACCTCAGCCTCCCAAAGGCGCGAGATTACAGGCTGAGCCACCGAGACCATGACTTACTTAAATCACCAAGATTTTAAAAGCATTCCTGTCACCTGGCTCAATCCTGTTCCTGATGTTCTGCCTGAGGCTTCCCTGCAACTCCTACATTTCAGAACAATTTCTTGGCACCCTGTGTAAGAATCTTAATTTGCCTCAGTGGGAAGGCATGAGGTTCTCCTTGTAAGTTACACATACCTCACATTATATGCCTGTCCTTTTACTCTACCCAACACTACAAAGGCAGATTCCCCCAAAACAATCCCCTCTCCATTCCCCAGAGCAGTGGGTGGGAAGACTACCAACCACACCTGCACAGCTCCCAAATGGACAAAAGTCTTTGTATCCATCACTGGTAGGGATAGTAAGATCCAGCAAGTGTAGGTACAAAATGGGCACACCCAGAACAGACATGTCATAACAGAGCAAAACTGAATTCAGCCCCTTGACAGTCACCATTGCCTTTCTGGTGAACACTCTCTTTCCTACTCCTGTGGAAATGACCTCTGTCTCACATGTGTTGGGATGCCCGGATCAGGCACAAGGAAACACCTCAGATGTCAAATGTTCACATGATGCCTGGACATCAAAGGTGGGAGCAGTTTTCTCATCCAAACGGTCAGAGAAGCAAAGATTCCTCCTCAGTATGTTGCGGATTAGTGTACAAAGGCAGGGGATTAACCACTGAACTCTGTAAGAAGAGTGGTTGCTATAACAGCCAGGAGAAAATGCCTTAAGTAAGTGTGGCCTTTTGTGGAGGAGGTGCATTTTGATACTGTGCTGGATCACACCCAAGTTAAATAATTAATATAACTACAGTCTTACCTGGAACCCTGGATCTTAAGAAATAGAGAAACTTCCCATTCTTGGAGTGCATAATTGCTCTCTTAATAAACTCTACAACAGATTGACAGCGATCCTCAAACTTGGGATGACACCACAGGCTGAAGGTTCCTGCCATGGAAAATTAAGAAATAAAAACTTTAAAACTTACTTTAGAAGATATGAGAGGGTCACTGGAACATTTTAGCAGTGAATCTCCCTTTTGGGAGGGCAGTTGTGGGCAAGCGAGGAAAAAGGTCCCTGAGGCTACCTGTTCTTGCTTATCCCACAATCAATGGAAAAAAGATGTCACCTTTTGAATACATAAACCAGGTCTTATGTGGGTTTTATTAGATAAGCAAGTATAGGTTTAGTACACCTTATCCGAGATGCTTGGGACCAGAAGTGTTTTGAATTTGGGTTTTTTCCTGATTTGGGAATATTTGCATTATACTTACCAGCTTAATCATCCCTAATCCAAAAATCCAAAATCTAAAATGTTCCAATGAGCATTTCCTTTGAGCATGATGTCAGCATGCAAAAAGTTTTGGATTATGATGCATTTTGGATTTCAGATTAGGTATACTCAACCTGTAATAAATTCAAGTCAGAAAAAAAGGACGGCCGGGCTCGGTGGCTCAGTCTATAATCCCAGTGCTTTGGGAGGTTGAGGTGAGTGGATTGCCTGAGCCTGCGGGTTCAAGACCCGCCTGGGCAACTTGGCAAGACCTCATCTCTACAATAAATCAAAAATTAGCCGGGTATGGTAGCGCGGGCCTGTAGTTCCAGCTACTTGGAAGGCTGAGGCTGAAGTATCGCCGGAGCCCAGCAGGTCGAGGCTGTGTGGTGGCTGGGAGTGTGCCATTGCACTCCAGTCTGAGTGACGGAGTGAAACTCCAAATCAAAAAAAAAAAAAAGGATATAAAAAAAATTGTCAAGTATGCACATTCATCCTTAAATCACAGACTTTCCATATTTATTTATATAATACCTAGTATAGATAGCAAGTGTGGATATATATATAGAAAGTCATACATTGCTTAATGACAGGGAGACAAGCTGAGAAATGCATTATTAGGTGATTTCATCTCTGTGTGAATATCGTAGAGTATACTTACACAAACCTGAATGGTACAGCCTACTACACACCTAGGCTATATGGTATGTCCTACTGCTCCTAAGGTTACAAACCTGTATAGCACATTACTGTACTGAATATTGTAGCCAACCGTAACACCATGGTAAGCATATTTAACATACTTAAACACAGAAAAGGTACAGTAAAAATATAGTAATATATCTTATATGCAGTCTGTCATTGACCAAAACATCATTACATGGTGCACAACTGTATGCGTGTGTGTGTGTTTGTGTACATATACAAAAGGTCCTTGAATAAAGTCATCTTAGTCAATGTCATTCTGTTATAACATTGATGAGAAAAAAAACTGGATTCCTGGCCAGGGCCACTGTCTGTGCAGTCTGTACGTCCTCCCCACATCTGAGTTGCTTTTCTCTGGGTACTCTGGTTTCCTACCATATCCCCAAGATGTGCATGTGAGGCTAAATGGCATATCCAAGTTTCTCCATGTGTATGAGTATGCTGTGATGGGATGGCACCCTGTCTAGGGTTGGGTCCTACTTTGTGCCCTAAACTGGAATAATGGGGAAATAGCTATCTTGTTTGTATTAATCTTTTCTAAATGTATATATAACTCACATTTATTTTGATGTTTAATATTAGAAGTGTTTTGTTCTTTATTTAGAAATTTTGGATGTTTTTGTGACCAGAAATACGCCATAGGAACTAGACTCTTGTTTATATCAATTAGCCTGTGGTAAAATTGGTTTCGCTATACATCACTTTGCTCAAAGTCAGTTTCCGAGAGCCTACCAACCACCTTATGTGAAGACTTACTGTATATACAGTTGACCCTTTAACAACGCAGGGGTTAGGGGCACCAATCCCCTACACCGTTGAAAATCTACATATAGCCGGGCTTGGTGGCTCAGCCTGTAATCCCGTGCCTTTGGGAGGCTGAGGTGAGTGGATTGCCTGAGCCCGCAGGTTCGAGACCCGCCTGGGCAGGCGAGACCTCATCTCTACAATAAATCAAAAATTAGCCAGGCGTGGTAGCGCGTGCCTGTAGTTCCAGCTACTTGGAAGGCTGAGGCGGAAGGATTGCTGGAGCCCAGCAGGTCAAGGCTGCGGTAGCTGGGAGCGGCCACTGCACTCCAGTGTGGGCGACAGAGTGAGACTTCAACTCAAAAGAAAAAAAAAAGAAAATCTACATATAACTTCTGACTCCCTCAAAACAAAACTAAGTTGACTGTTGAATGGAAGACTTACTGATAACACAAAGTTGATTAACACACATTCTGTATATATATATTACATACTATATTCTTTTTTTTTCTTTTTGGAGTTAGAGTGACTCACTCTTGTCGCCCAGGCTGGAGTGCAGTGGCACACTCATGGCCACCACAGCCTCGACCTGCTGGACTCAGGTGATCCTTCTGCCTCAGTCCTCCAAGTAGGAAGAATGCATGCTACCATGCCCGGCTAGTTTTTCTGATTTACTGTTGAGGTCTCACCAAGTTGCCCAGGCTGATCTTGAACCCTCAGGCTCAGGCAATCCTCTTGCCTCGGCCTCCCAAAGTGCTACGATCACAGGCTGAGCCACTGCACCTGGCCTATACTATATCTTAAAATAAAATGAGCTAGAGAAATGAAAATGTTATTACAAAAAACACAAGAGAAAATATATTTACTATTAAGTAAGAGGAAAGGATCATCATGAAAGTCTTTTCTTCCTTGTTGTCTTGTCTTCACGCTGAGTAGGCTGAGGAAGAGGAAGAGGAGGAGGAGGAGGTGGTGGAAGGGGAGGCAGGTACACTTGGTATAACTTTATGGAAATATATACTAATTTCTGTCTGGTTTTATTTCTCCAAAAATGTTTCTATATGGGACCAATCCTCCTCCTAGCATTTGCGTTGGTTTCAGTGCCTGCATCATAAAAGGGTTCATGTTGTAAAGGAAATCAAAAGCAGTCTTGAATAGTCAGAACCCTTCTGTCAGGCTAATGTCGATTTTTTTCTGGCTGCTTCTTCTATGTCTTTTTCCTCATCACTTGGCACTGCTCAGAAGCACTTGTCTCCACCAAGTCTTCTTCTGTTAATTCCTCTGATGTGGTGTCTGCTAGCTCTTGAATTTCTCCAAGATCCAATCTTGAAACCCTTCATCCCTCACCATTTTTTGCCATATCCACAATCTCTTTCATGATTCCTTTTACTAACTCTGTTGTAAATCCTGTGAAGTCATGCAGGACATCTGGACACAGCTTTCTCCAGCAGGAATTTATTGTTTTGGGCTTGACAGCTTTCACAACTTTTTCTAAAACAATGACAGCATCTAGCTGGGCATGGTAGCTCGTGCCTGTAGCTCCAGCTACTTAGAAGGCTGAGGCGGAAGGATCACTGGAGTCCAGCAGGTTGAGGCTGTGGTGGCAGTGAACATGCTACTGCATTACAGTCTGGGAGACAGAGTGAGACTACAACTCAAAAAACAAACAAACAAAAAACAATGATGGCATCTTCAGTGATGGAGTCCTTCCAGACTTTCATGAGGTTCTAGTGGATTCTCTTCTACAGTACTGACAATTCTCTCTAAAGAGGACCCTGTGTAATAAGCCTTCAAGGTCCTTATGACCCAGGGTTGGTCAGGTAGGCCTTGCACCCTGAACCGCCAGGATAAGATCTGACCACCCACAACCCTGACTAAGTAAATGACTATCTCGTTTTTATTATTCGTTCTTAAATGTATGTATTGTTCAAGCTGAGCTGGAGATACTGTGTTTGGGGGCAAGTAGACCACTTGGACATAGTCAGCGTTGACCCTGTGGGGTTCAAAAGAACTTTGACAGTCCCTTACTGGCAACAGACACCCTGACTTCAGGGACAAAGCATCAATGGAACCAATCCAGAGAAAGGTTCTCATCCAAGTCTTCTGGTCTTACAACCAAAAGACTAGCAGCTGGTATTTATCTTTTCCTTTTAAGGCTCGGGGTTAGCAACTTTATAGGCAACGGCAGTCCCAATCATAAACCAGACTGCCTTTGCACAAAACAGTAGAGTTACAGTGTCCCTTCATAACTTAAATCCTGGTGCTTGCTTCTCTTCCTTACTAATAAATGTTCTTTGTGGCTTTTTAAAAAAAAAAACAAAATTGGACACTTTGCATTAAAAATCTGTTCAGGCTGGGTGCAGTGGCTCAGTCTGTAATTCCAGCACTTTGGGAGGCTGAAGCAAGAGGATTGTCTAAGCCTGGGGTTTTGAGACCAGCCTGGGCAACTTGGTGAGACCTCGTCTCTAAAATAAATCAGAAAAATTAGCCAGGTGTGGTGGCGTGTTTCTGTAGTTCCAGCTGCTTGAAAGGCTGAGGCAGAAGGATCACCTGAGCCCAGAGGTCAAGGCTGCGGTGGACATGAGTGTGCCACTACACTCCAGCCTGGGCGACAGAGTAAGACTCCAAAAAAAAAAATCTGTTCAGGCTTGGCGCGGTGGTTCATACCTGCAATCCCAGCAATTTGGGAGATGGAGGTGAGAGTATTGCCTGAGTTCAGGGGTTTGAGACAAGCCTGGGCACCTTGGCAAGATCTTGTCTCTACAATAAATCAAAAAATTAGCCAGGCATGGTGGCATGCACCTGTGTGGCTCCATCTACTTGGAAGTTTGAGACAGAAGGATCACATGAGTCTAGCAGGCTGAGGCTGTGGCGGCCATGAACGTATCACTGCACTTCAGCCTTGGAGACAGAGTGAGACTTGTACTTTAAAAAAAAACCGCCGGGCTCGGTGGCTCAGCCTGTAATCCCGCACCTTTGGGAGGCTGAGGTGAGTGGATTGCCTGAGCCCGCGAGTTCGAGATTCGCCTGGGCAGCGAGATCTCATCTCTACAATAAATAAAAAAATCAGCCGGGTGTGGTAGTGCATGCCTGTAATTCCGGCTACTTGGAA